TAAAACGGACCCCCAACTTCTATATGCATCCGAAGAAGTGGGCTGTAGTCCACGAAAGCTTATGCTCTAATAAATTTGTTAGTCTCTAAGGTGCCACAAGTACTCCTGTTCTTTTTTTTTAATATAGATTAAAAAAATTTTATCCAGATTTTTTTTTTTAAAGAAAGGTGGACAATTTGAAAGCATGCATTTTCCCATTGGGTATCTAACAGTCTGATTGTTGCATTTTCTGACTTTTCAGCTGACTTTTGTTTTTAATGAAAAACCTTGCTTTCCCAAGCCGACATTTTCAATCACTACGTGTTTCTAGTTCAACTTTTGAAGACTAAATTGTTTTGATTAAAAAAAGATAATCCTGCCTTGTGACTAAACTGGCCAATCAAAACTGAATGCCAACAATTTGAAATCAAAAGAAATCACTTCTGGAGAACAAAAGAACAGGAGTACTTGTGGCACCTTAGAGACTAACAAATTTATTAGAGCATAAGCTTTCGTGGGCTACAGCCCACTTCTTCGGAGAACAGTGAGCGGATACATTTTTGTTTGCAAATGTCAAAAAAATGAAACGTGTTTGCAAAAAAAGTACCAGATTTAGACAAAACACATTTTTATTGGCAAAATATTCACCAGCTCCAATTATGCCAGACGGTAAATAGAAGTTCTTGACTGACCTTCTATGTCTTTTTTATTCTTTTGTATAGCACTATCATATCACCTCTTCTCAATGAACAGCAACGCCCAAGGGCCAGATCCTCCATAGGTGTAAATTGTCATAACTCCAGTAAGGTCAGTGGAGCTACACCAGTTTATGCCAGCTGAGGAGCAGTTCCTCAGTCATCACACACCTCTAATAATTTTTCCCCCCCGTCCCTTCACCCTTCGGTTTCTGCTCTATCTTTCTGAAATGGAATCATGATCCCAACAGTAGTTTCACCAGATGCCAAGGCACATACATCCCAAAAATGCTCTGGCAAATTTTCATGCCCTATTCCTTTGCAAATGACCATCTAAGTTGCTGTTCTCCATCATCACCTATTTCTCTCTCCCACCGAATAGCCATGTTTCTGATGATTTTCCACATAGAGCCATTACCTCACTTGGAAAATATTCTTGTCACTTAGAGGCGATTAAAGAGATAAGGTGGCTGAGGTAATATCTTTTATGGGACCAACTTCTTTTCCTGGGTAAATAGTGGTGTGGAGTCATCTTTGAGTTCTTTATAGTAGGTGGTGTTGGAGAGTGGTCGGCTGGCCTCATTAATGTAGTCATCACAATTGAGGATTACGATGGTGCTCCCTTTGTCTGCTGATTTGATTGCTATCTGATGTTTAGGCCGCGGCAGCGCTGTGAAGCGCGAGTGTAGTCGCGCCGCCAGCGCTGCGAGAGCGCTGCAAGTACTCCACCTCTCCGAGGGGAATAGCTTGCAGCGCTGCGAGCGAGCGTGCAGCGATGCAGGCGTTGATTACACGGGCGCTTTGCAGCGCTGCACTCGCTGCACTCGGGGGGGGGGGGCGTTTTCACACCCCTGAGCACGGCAAGTTGCAGCGCTGTACAGCGCCAGTGTAGCCAAGGCCCCAGATTTCAGGGACTATACAGCTGGCCTCTCAGCAGTGGAGAGATTGTGGTGGATGTGATGTTTGTTAAGGATTTCACGGTCAGTTTTTTCCCTGAAGCAAGCACCAAGAAGAATGTGGTTTTGCATGCTCTGTGGTGTCCCCAGTCAGATGTCATTCACAGGCAATGTTATTTTTCCAGCACCCACTCTTCTTAGGCCCATAAATCTTGCTAATTCGGAGCCCTGTGTGACTCAAGCATGAGCGTCTCTGCTTTTCCATCGGGTCAAGCGATGAAACTTGAAGCAAACAGAGGCAACAATTAAACAACCAAACCTCACAAGGGTGTGTCGGTCTGAAAACCTTCCAGGGCTTCAGCGTGATATCAAGCACGAGGCAGAAGGCAATGAGTTGACATGTCATGCCATGTCCTGTCTTGTCTTGCTGGGATTACAAAACAGCCCCATGTCAATATTATTAGAGGTGTGGGTAGAATCAGAAGAAAGGCGTTCTTTACTGGGTGTCTTACTGCTGATTAGAAGAGATCATATCAGTGCTGTTCAACATACCCATAAATGATCTGGAAAAGGGGTAAACAGTGAGGTGGCAAAATTTGCAGATGATACAAGACCACTCAAGATAGTTAAGTCCCAGGCAGACTGCGAAGAGCTACAAAAGGATCTCACAAAAGTGGGGGACTGGGCAACAAAATGGCAGCTGAAATTCAATGTTGATAAATGCAAAGTAATGCACATTGGGAAACATAATCCCAACTACACGTATAAAATGATGGGGTCTAAATTAACTGTTACCGCTCCCGAGAGAGATCTGGGAGTCACAGTCAATAGTTCTCTGAAAACATCTGCTCAATGTGCAGTCAAAGTAGCAGTCAAAAAAGTGAACAGAATGTTGGGCATCATTAAGAAAGGGATAGATAATAAGACAGAAAATATCCTATTGTCTCTATATAAATCCATAGTACATCTTGAATATTGGGTGTAGATGTGGTCGCCCCATCTGAAAAAAGATTTATTGGAATTGGAAAAGGTTCAGAAAATGGCAACAAAAATGATTAGGAATATGGAACGGCTTCCATATGAGGAGAGATTAATAAAATTGGGACTTTTCAGTTTGGAAAACAGACGACTAAGGAGGGATATGATTGAGGTCTATAAAATCATGCTTGGTGTGGAGAAAATAAATAGGGAAGTGTTATTTACTCCTTCTCATACCACAAGAACTTATAAATGAAATTAATAGGCAGCAGGTTTAAAACAAACAGAAAGAAGTATTTCTTCACACAATGCACAGTCAACCTGTGGAATTCCTTGCCAGAGGATGTTGTGAAGGCCAAGACTATAACAGAGTTCAAAAAACAACTAGATACGTTCATGGAGGATAGGTCCATCAATGGCTATTAGCCAGGATGGGCAGGGATGGTGTCCCTAGCCTGTTTGCCAGAACCTGGGACTGGGCGACAGGGGATGGATCACTTGATGATTCCCTGTTCTGTTCATTCCCTTTGGGGCACCTGGCATTGGCCACTGTTGGAAGACAGGACACTGTGCTAGATGGACCTTTGGTCTGACCCAGTATGGCTGTTCTTATATTCATATTACACCAAGAAAAATAGTTCCCGATTGAAAGTGGTTTAAATTAAACATACGCTGAAAAATTATAAACCTACTTTTGGTTGGTGGGTGTGAACCTGTGGGACTGGGCAGCGAGGCTGCTTGTGCTCCCCAGACTTCCTTCTGTCTCAAGGGAGAAGCATCTATCATGCTCCAAAGACTGGTGCTTGTGGTCGGCTGGGGCCCAGTGTGGACTCTGGGAGGGTTTTCCAGCCTTTCATGCCCATCCAAGCTGCCCTCGGCTCCCCGAGTAGCTGCTTCGCCTCTGGCTTGGTCAGGTGTTTCATGGGCATGAATTCAAATGTGATCAGATTTGCTGCTGAAGCCCAGACTGGCGGGGGAGGAACTGTACAAGAGGCGGGAACCAAACGGCGCAGGGACCTGAGGAGATGAGAGTGGAGGGGCAGCGGGGACAATCAGCACCAAGGGAGGCAAATCCTGCCATTCAAGGAGAGGAAAGGAACCACCCAGCACTTAAAGGGTGGGTGGAAGCCCGGCAGCTCCGGTGACCCATGTGGATTTCATGTAACCTAGCCTCTAATTGCTGCAGGAAGGGAGCTGAATTGCAGTTGGGATGTGCCCATGAGAGGATCTCCTATTCCCAGTCACTGCTTCTGCCAGTCCCTAGGGAAGCCAGCGCACAGCCCCCCCTGCCTCCTTTAGGGTGACCAGCTGTTCTGATTTTATAGGGACAGTCCCGATTTTG